TTCGGGTGCTTGCCGGAGCCCGAACGCTCCAAAACAGCTGCGGCTGAAGCTCATGATGCTCGCTTCAGGTGCCTGCCCGTGCCCGAACGCTCCATCGCTTGCCCGATCCCGAACGGTTCAAAACAGCTGCGGCTGATTCTCATGATGCTCGCTTCGGGTGCTTGCCTGAGCCCCAAAACAGCTGCGGCTGATGCTAATGATGCTCGCTTCGGGTGCTTGCCCGAGCCCGAATGGTCCAAAACAGCTGCGGCTGATGCTCATGATGCTCGCTTCGGGTGCTTGCGAGCCCGAACGGTCCAGGAACGGTCCAGAACAGCTGCGGCTGATGCTCATGGAGCTCGCTTCGGGTGTTTGCCTGAGCCCGAACGGTCCGAATCCGAAACAGCGGCGGCTGATGCTCATGGTGCTCGCTTCGGGTGTTTGCCTGCGCCCGAACGGTCCAACCCAGCTGCGCTGATGCTCATGATGCTCGCTTCGTGTGCTTGCCCGAGCCCGAACAATCCAAAACAGATGCTCGCTTCGGGTGCTTGCCCGAGCCCGAACGGAGCGGTCCAAAACAGCTGCGGCTGATGCTCATGATGCTGGCTTCGAGTGCTTGCCCGTGCCCGAACGGTCCAAAACGGCTGCGGCTGATGCTCATGATGCTCGTCGGGTGCTTGCGAGCCCGAACGATCCAAAACAGCTGTGCTTGCCTGAGCCCGAACGTCCACAAACAATTGCTGCTGAGGCTCATGATGCTCGCTTCGGGTACTTGCCCGAGCCCGAACGTCCAAAACAGCTGCTGCTGAGGCTCATGATGCTCGCTTCGGATGCTTGCCCGAGCCCGAACGGTCCAAAACAGCTGGGTCTGATGCTCATGATGCTCGGTTCGGGTGCTTGCCTGAGTCCGAACGGTCCAAAAATTCCAAAACAGCTGCGGCTGATGCTCATGATGCTCGCTTCGGGTGCCTGCCCGAGCTCGAACGGTCGAAAACAGCTTCATGATGCTCGCTTCGGGTGCTTGCTCGAGCCCCACTGTCCAAAACAGCTGGCTGTGGCTGATGCTCATGATGCTCGCTTCGCGTGCTTGCTTGCCCCCGCCCGAACGGTCCAAAACAGCTGTGCCTGATGCTATGATGCTCGTTTCAGGTGTGCTGCCTAAAACGCTCATACGCCCAGCGCAAGCGGGCCAACGCAACCGCGGATGATGCTTGTGATGCTCGCTTCGGGTGCTTGTTACCCCAGCCCCGGCGAGCGAAAACAACTTTGGTGACTTTCCCCCAACCTGCAAGCCAACACAGCCGCCGCTGATGCTCATGATACTCGTTTCCGGGGCTTGCCCCATTCCAAGCGGGCCAAAGCAACACCAGCTATGCTCTCTTCGGAGCTTGCTTGCCCCAGCCCAAGCGGGTCAAAACAACTGATGCTCATGATGCTCGCTTCAGGTGCTTGCTTGCCCCAGCCCAAGCGGGTCAAAACAACCCGGCTGATGCTGATGCTCATGATGCTTGCTTCGGGTGCTTGCTTGCCCAAGCTCGCTTCAGGTGCTTGAACAACCGCGGCTGATGCTCATGATGCTCGATTCGGGTGCTTGCCCGCCCAAACAGTCCAGAACAGCTGCAGCTGATGCTCATGATGTCGCTTCGGGTGCTTGCCCCATGCAGGGCCAAAACCATCGCGCCGATGCTCATGATGCTCGCTTCGGGGGCTTGTCCCTAGCTCAAGCGGGGCAACACAACAGCGGCTGATGCTCAAGACCCCGGATGATGCTCATGATGCTCGCTTCGGGCGCGCTCAAAGGGGCCCCACCACTTGCAGCTGGTTCCCATGATCCTCGCTTCCGGTGCTAGCCCCAGCCCAAACAGGCCGAAGCAATCGCGTTTGATGCCCATGATGCTTGCTTATGGTGCTTGCCCCAGCCCCAGCGGGCCAAAGCAGCTGCGGCTTATGCGCGGGATGATGCTCTTCAGGTCCCCAGCGCAAGCGTGCCAGCACAACCGCGGATGATGCTCGTGATGCTTGCTTCGGGAGCTTGTTACCCCCGCCCCAGGGGGCCCAAACATTTGCAGCTGATTCTCTTGATCGTCGCTTCGGGTGCTTGCCTCAGCCCTGCAAGCCAAAACAGTCATGCTCATGATGCTCGCTGCTGGCAAGCGGGCCAAAACAACCGCGGCTGATGGTCACAATGCTCGCCGGAGCTTCCACGTGGAGCAGGCCACCCGAAATACGAACGGCAGTATCGACAACCTCGCCAAAAGAAGAGATACATAGAGATCAGTCAAATAACACAGCGTCTTGGCTACAGTAGTTCGTCTGTTGTCTCTGCAGACGAGTTTTACCTATGGCCTCGACTACGGAGGCGCAGAGACTTGCATCAAGCACTCACACTCACAGGTCTTTTCATGTACAAAAGGTGTGCTTTAGGGGTGTAAGGCAAACTTCCGGCTTGAGTAGGAACCGAGGTTTTTAGGCCTTAGCCAAGAAGCCAGCCTTTGGGCTCGCAATTGCTGTATTCGTATGAGCACAGGAGTCCGCACATGTTTGCATCGCAGTGAGAGGGTCTTGGGAGTAGTTAGTACTGGCAGTGCCACGCAGAAACTCTGTTGGTTGTGCGAGTTCTTTCAGCCCTGTTCGCTAGGCGGTGCCTGTCCAATGGCTCCAAAACTTCCTAACGCCGCCACGATTTCAAGAGGCGGTGGGTGTGCGGATTCAGGGTTTAAGTGACTGTATTGGAGCCCTCAGAAGGATTGCCGGTGATTTGGGCTTGTTGGAGCCCTTACTGCTCGTGACTTGGACAGTACATGGTCCAGTCACAGAGCACGTTTCTGGAAACCCCCGCCCTACGACTGGCGCTGTTGAGGCAAACAAGACCTGAACTCTTGCCCCCTGGTCCACACCATCATATGGGAGTTTCCACAGACTAATTGGGGTCCCCTATTTTCGGAAACTCCTAGATGATCTATATCATCCTGACTCTGCTCCTCGTCCTCCCTCTCTCATCCATGAGATCCTCGTCATCCTTGTCGTCTCTGCTTCGTCTTCGTGACCTCAAACATTCAACCCTAAACTGCCAGTAGAACGTTGGCTCTACCCTAATCATGTATCGGTAGGGCATACTCACGCAGCTGCTCGGATTTTTGAACGATGCAGTGACCGGCTGATCAGGCTGAACAGTATTACTGCCGAGTCGCAGGGATGTATGTCGCTCTTGCTCGACCTGCCGCAGCATGTTCAGGTGGGAGGCATGCAGAGCTTTGCCGGCTCTTTCCGAAGCAATGGCCACGACGTGCTTGAGAAGGGCTCTGGCCCGCGAGATCGCGTGGGTTTGCGAACCCAAGCAAGCAGCCAGTGGTACAGCCCGGAGGAGTCAGGGGTCTTCGGTCCCGGTTCCCGACGCATGCATGGCTAGGTCGTGAAAAGCCACTACGAAGTCCTTCTGAAAAGGCAGCCCCAGCAAAGATCCTTGCTTTACTTCCCGAGGAGTTAACTTCGTTCGAGGTCCAATCGCATCCCGGATCGCTGGCCTCATCCCAGCAACTTGGAGGTTGTGGGTTAGGGTCATTGGGGCTTGGCTTTATGATTTACGGGTTAGAGTTTATGTAGTTCGGCGTCTTCACGGTATGTTGCTATTTTTATGACGGGCTCTGTAGCCAAACTCTCGAACACTCTTTCACTAGAAGGTATGCTAGTAGATCCGATTTACAAATCGTTCCGTCGGGTCAAATGCTAAACGGAAAGGTATACCCGAACCTACAACCCTAATCATCATCGCATCGCCTGGAGTGAAACACCCAAGCACCTGCTTGTTAAGGAACTTTCTCTAAGTTCATGGCCCTAAAGTCCAAAACCCAGTATTTGCATTTGAAGTTCGATTATGGCAACTTATATAACAAGTTCCCTAGCAAGAGCCCAGTTTAAGGCAGCCGCCGACTGCCTCGCCTCCGGCGTCTGGCTCGGGCCTTTCCTTCTACGGGAAGGGCTCGCAGCTCGCAAAGTGCACGGGTCACCAAACATGTTCGAGAGGCTTCAATAGATCCACGAAGCCCTTACAAGAAGGATCCTGTTTTGCGGGCCTAGATTAATTGCTAAAACTTACAACAAGCCCACGAAGCCCTTACAAGAAGCTTTAGAAGTTAGAATGTTAGAATAGGGTTTTGGTGAGTTTTAGGGTCTTGTCGGTAGCTTCGCAATACTGACACTGTAGCCCCCTGAAGCCATGCCCTCTTCAATTTCGCGGTTTTTTCACTACATGGTCCAAGCCAAAGTAGAGCTCCGGGTTCGGAACAAAACTCCTTATTCCTAAAGCCCCTGCGAGGTTCTCGCCCCCAGAGAGGCCAAAGCCTCGGGAACGTCCCGAGAGGTCCGTGGAGGACCTCGCAGCTCGGAATTGAGGTCTTGGGCTCCTGGGGTAGAAGCTTGTAAAGCTTTCGTGTCGGGCTATGCTTAGGGGTCTGTGTTTGGCATTTGGAGTTGAAGATCGAGCTGTCTGCTGCGAAGAGGCGGTTCATGGTTTCAGACCCCTGCGCTCGACTCTAGACGCAATGGAGAAGTTGGATTGGAACTGAGTTTGGTCATTGCTGTGCAGGCACCCATGAGCATCAGGTTAGTTTGGTTTCGCCACTGGGCCATAAGGATCTGCAGTCTCAAATCAGAACCTGCAGCTGATAGCTGTTAGGGACTGTTTCGAGTCCACTCAGCCCAAACAGTTCAACATGAACCCCGGGTAGCGACAATGCCTTTCAAAACTGGTGAACTCCTTCGACTTGGCAGTTAGCATCTGAGGCAGAGCAAGTACAGGCCGGCCGGAATGTTTATGTGCCTTGGCGATGGTGTTTCAGATTTTTGGCCTCAAGGTTTAGGGCCTCGGTGTATTTCAACCTCTATCCAATGTTTGAGGCTTGGCAGTGCAACCAAGTATCAGCCTCTACTGGAGAGAGTTGAAGCTCTGGTGCATTTTGCGTGGTGTCAAAGTTTAGGAGGATGGATCGATGTCTCCTAAGCCATGCGAGCACGCTGAGGTAATGCCCAAGAGGCCTCCGCGGGCTAACGAATGCTACGCCTTGGACAAGGATCTGGCGGCCTCTTCGACATGTGGGCAGGCTTTCGACGTCGCGCAGCAAAGCGCTGACATCATGGATGCCCCCAACTGGGCCAACTTATTCTATGCGCTGGCCCACTTCAAGAAGAAGGGAGACCGCAGCATAACTTACGCAAGCCTCCGTAGCGATCCCCGTTGGTCTGGGAGTTGCCAGAAGCTGTGTTCATGTTTGGCAGATCTCACTGCCCGTGATGCTGCGAATGTAATTTGGTCACTGGCGAATTTAGATGCCAAGCAGGAGCCACTTTTCCTGCAAACCGCAGATGCTTTGTGCAACGGTGGGAAACTGGCCGTTTGTGACCCAATGAGTATCGCGAAAACTGCTTGGGCGCTAACGAGCATCCCAAACAGAGACAGGCGACTGGATCTGTTTGCAAAGCTGGCAGTGCCTGTGGTTCTGCGTGCCGACACCTTCCCTCTGGGATCTCTCACCATGATCTGCTATGCTTTCGCGAAAGCTGACTTCCGAGACGGGGACGCTTATGAGGCTTTATCGGCAGCACTGACGACTCATATGGATGACGAGCTCCGCCCGATTGATGTTTGCAACATCATTTGGTCCTTCTGCACGGTGGGATATCGAGACGACGAGCTTTTTGCAAAGATATGCGAGATATATCTCGTTAAGGAGGCAGTGGTGAGCGAGTTCAACCCGCAAGATCTGACCAACATCACATGGGGCTTTTGCAAGGTTGGCTTCGAGCATAAGCCCGCCATGGACGTGCTCGTCAAAGTGAGTTACGACCAACGTCATGTTTTCGAACCCATTCATTACGCCAACCTGCTCTACTCCTTCGCCATGCTCAGAATGCACGGTCCAGACGGCCTCCTGCTCGCTATCGCTGATGCCGCATCGGAGCGTGTGCAAAAGTTCGACGGTGGCAACCTGGCCATCGCAGGCTGGGCGCTGGCCACGCTGGGTATGAGCGAGCATCCACTGCTCGATCTCGCCTTGGACCGGGCCGCTCGCCCCGAGCTTTGCGCGACTTTAGGAAGCCGTGCGCTCTCGATGATGACATTGGCATGCTTCCGCACCCGACGCCCCGAAAAGCTGGAGAGGCTGCTCGATGTTACGCGCCAATCTGGCCTTGGCATCGGCGCATCCGGCTACTCCGCGGCAGTGATGGCTGCAGAGCAGAGCTCGGACCACGTTCGGGAGATTCAGATTCTCGAGGCCATGTCCTCTGAAGCGCAAGATAGTCGCATGCGAACTGCGGTGGCCAACTCCTTGGCACTGAGGCTTTGGAAGCGTGGTCTGGTTCGGGAGGCTTTCGCTGTCCTGCGAGATTTGAATAGATGTGAGCCGAAGCGGTGGTCTGTTGTGTCCTCGGCACTGGTGGCTCGGCTGGGGGCAGAGTGCGGTGCGCTTGAGGAGGCTGCGGAGATCCTCGAAACCACCGGAGGTTTCGACAGCCAAGAGTGGGAAGCTCCGGTCACAAGTGGCATCCACCCTATGGCGGCCACACGCCAGAACGAGGGAAGCCACGCCTATACGCGGGAGTTCATGACCCTCCATGCCGTCCTGTGCGGTGCACCGCCCGGAGACCCAGATGCCTGCATGGCGGCCATTGAGCGCTTTGCAGAGTCCAGATCTCTGTGGCTAAAGATCACGGCATGGGAGAAGGGCATCGTAGTGCACGAGGTGGCCCGGCTCTGGAAGCCTCGTCTTAGTGTTGAGATAGGGGCCTACGTGGGCTATTCTGCCATGAACATCGCACGTGCGGTGCGACACCACGGGGGAAAGGTGGCAAGCTTGGAGGTTGACCCTCTGCACGTCACTTTGGTCAGAAACATGATCGAGCCTTGGTTCCGAAATTTACCATGCTCCTTTCCGTTCTGTAAAATCCAGTGTTCCTGGCAAATTTGCAGAGAGAGAGAGAGAGAGAGAGAGAGAGAGAGGGAACTACCAACCATGTAACGGACCTAGGAGTATGCTGGCTTGTCTGACACGGTGGATGTGTGGACTGGCTACTCATACGACAGCATCCCCCACCTGCTAGAAAAATACGGGCCCCGTTCCGTCGACCTGGTGTTCATGGATCAGAAGGGCACACGTTTCCATAGTGACCTGGCGCTCATGGAGGCGCTCAGGGTTCCGTCGGTTTTAGGAAAAAAAACTTCCTTAAAAGGGGAGCCTTTGCCTTCGTAGGAGCTCAACATACTCTCTGATCGAGCCGTGATCTTGGCAGACAACGTGCTGAAGCTGATGCTTTATTCAGCATCATGTTTGTGGCATGTCCGGGTTAGCAGAGCAGGCTGCCTCCAGGAGTGTTGAGCTCTAGTTGGTAGGAGGCAGCCGAGTTTGTGCCTTTCTCAACGTCCAGGAAACCAGGTGCACCGCTCTACATCTGGCACCTTGCCAAGGGCAGTTACCATCATTGCACGGCGATCTCGGTTCGGGAGTTTTTGCTCCAAAGCGAGGACTGGATGGTCATGGCGTTCCGTGATGTCTCACGACCCAAAGCGCCCACACCCCCTCCCAGCCTACACCGCCTCGCCTTCGAATCGGACAACTTCCGCAAGCGCTCCATGTTTGACGGCGTCGCTCCAAGCAAGTCGGACTGGTGGAAGTTTTCTCAGGGCTTCATCAATGGACTAGCGCAGTGTGGCTGCAAGCCCGACATAGTCGGCTTGCACGGGCGGGAGAATCCGAAAATCACGCCGGCTGACGTGGCGAGAATCTTCGAAACGGCGGGCGTTTTACATGAGCCGAGCAGGACGGGCACCTGATGTAAAATGCAGTCCTGACTTCTTATATTGCTCCATCGGGTCGCTTGCAGGGTTTAGGACCTCATCCGAATCATTTTAGGCTTCTTCAACTCTTCTGAGGGTTTTGGGGGGGTATAATGTCGCCTCCGGGTTAAGAGCTGAGGATTCCTTGCTGTGTGGCTTCAATTCGAGCCTTCTTGAGGCCCTTGGGTTCATGCGTGCCGCTCCCCAAGGCCGGTAGTATGTGTACACAAAAAAACCACTTCAGCGGAGACTTGTGCAGAGAAGTTCCGGTTCCTTGCCGAGACAGAAGGGGTTCCCACGAATAGGCACATCCTTCTTGCATGTTGGCATGCTTTTTGATGCGCGTAGTTACTGCTTCGAGGGATGTCGAATGTCCAGCGAAAATGTCAAAAGCTTCAGAGTAGTTTAGGTTTCGGTTTAGGCGGATCGAGCGAATTTGTCTTTCAGCCTCTTCTGTTGGGGTGGCTGAGCAGATGGTGGGCACAGCCTGTCTTGCATGTCGTTCCCACGTTCGAGAAATTTCGAGAACCCAACGTAGAAGACCCAGAACGGGATAGCTGATAGCACCCACCTGAGAGACAGGAAGCTTCATGTCGAACAGTTTTTGCTAAGCTTGCTCAATCGTGAGTGTCGAAAGCATGGAGAAAGATGTTTGCGTCACTTAATTACGCCCTCAACCCTAAGGCCCGTATTATATAGATTATATAAACCTTATGTCTTGAACAGGCTCCGTCCGAAATCCATCACCCAAGAGCGGCGAAATCTTTAGTTGAGTTGTTTTGGGGGCAGGCCACTGAGTCTTATGGCCCGGAGTACGTGATGCCTCCGATGCCGCCTGTAATGCTTGGCGCCCAACGCGGGCCATTGCTTCGGACTGTGCAGCGCTTCACAGGTTGTAGCACCAATCAAGGGCTGAGCGGTCGTGCATCGTTTTGTTCAACAAGAGCTGGCAAAGGCTCATGCAGCGTCTTCAACGTCTTTATGTACTCAAGAAGGATCGGACTCCACGCGAATTGCAGCGTGTGAAATCTCAAAGATCGTGCGGAGACGCGCGCAAACACATTCACAAGCAATTGTGATGTTGCTGGCTCCTTTCATCATGTGCTGGTCGACGCTCTCAACGGGTTGCGAGCGATGTCCCTCATCGCATCATCATGCGTCTTCTATTCGTTCCTGGCTGTGAAGTTTCAATCATGATAGATGTGAGGCGTAGGGTGTAGGAGCCGAATGCAGTGGGAGGCAAATACAGTACCATCCCATTGACTTGAGGCATCGGGAAACAGAATCCTGTTGTGCCAATATCCTTAGTATCGCCAGCTGCAGAAAGCCCTTGCATGTGTCGTTGGGGGCCCCAAATCCCCCAAGAATCGCACGCTGTCAACTCGTTATTATTCGTTCCCATAGTGATGGGCAACTGGGAACTTCGTGGACCATGGCGCAGCACGGTGGATTTGGACTCGTGTTTCCAAGGCCGAACCCCATGCTGCAGATGCCGCCCCTGTCCTTCTCCAAGATTTGGAACGAGGCGTGAGCGGCATCTTCAGGTGTTTGCAATTGGGCCCTAGAAAAATGTGCTCAAAGACAGACCACACCTTGTGAGCAACCGCACTCCCCTAAAGCCGTAAAACTCCGATAATCCGATAAGCGACACGCAGGACAGGCAGTCTACTACTGAGACCCAGGTGTCTCCGACTTGCTGTAAACAGTGTTATTAGGCACTTTGACTCTCGAGATCCTTGCAGATGCTCCGAAACCCTGGAAGCCTCTAAGCTGCGTCTATCGACAGCGACAACGGCCATCGCCATGGCCAGCTACATCCTGCCAGACATGTTCTTACAGTGGCAGTGCAAACTGCGGTCATAGTATGGTCACGTTCCACGAAGGCACGAGAGAGAGCGAGAGAGAGCGAGAGAGAGAGAGAGAGAGAGAGACATGCCCGGCGGGCCGACCTCCTGCACAATACAGTGCATACCGCCAACATCGGGCAGACCCTAGCGGGGGGCTCGCCCCTCAAGCCTGCGAAAGAGAGAGAGAGAGAGAGAGAGATAGAGAGAGACAGACAGTCGACAAACCCGGATAATTCAAAGGCCATTATACTTCCTTCACATGTCCGGGGCACTCGATTTCCGGTTTCTTTTTCACGCCCTACCAAAGCCCCATAACAAATGGGGGCCCCATGTGGCCGGGGGGCTTAAGACGCCTCCTATGCCCTGCAGAAGACAGACAGACAGATAGAGACAGACGGACGGACGGACAGAAAGAGAGAGAGAGAGAGAGATGTGTATGTGTATGTATATATATATATATATACATATACACATAATTTTAGCTTATGTATGTATTCATGTATTTATCTATATTATTTGCTTGTGTATACCGACGGACAGGGGGGACCTTACCAGGTCCCCCCTGCCCTGAGGAAGAAGAGAGATATACAGACAGACAGACAGAGCCAGACAGGCATGCAGGCAGGCAGACATACAGAACGCAGAGACAGACAGACAGAGCGATAGCACCAAAAACTAAGAATGCACAGTGAATGCACCTGCATTCATGTAGTAGTGGCCAAGACTGTGAGGTTAATGGTTCTTGCTACTGTGGAAAAGAGAGCCAAACTAAAGCACAGGTTCTGCTGAGAAGCAGCGAGAAGGTCAACAACACTGTACAATAGGACGAACTGTAGTACTCGCCGCAGTCGAAAGAAGTGTGCTTTGGACATATCCTTCCGCCTAAGTGTAAGCTTGTTCAACCTTGGTATTCTATAGGACATGAGCATGCGGCAGCTTCGGTTGATGTTTTGAGTTTTGTGTCAGGGTTTGCTGCTCTGGGTGTACGGTTTGGTCTAGGGTTTCTGGAATCGCATCTGGCCAAACCAACCATGTCCTGTTTGAGGATCACGACTCGCAGGGCACAGAGAGCACTGCAGAGGAGTGTCACGAGGCCGCCTTTGAGTTTCAAGCTCATACTATGGCCCCGCGTTCTATTTGTAGCATAATTTCTATTTCGGGCCTATAGGGCTCAAAGTTTCCATCTCGCTGAGTCAAGAGCTCCAAGAGAAGTGCGACATACTCGTAGAAGCTTGTCTAGGCCCATAGAGATGCGGGCAAACGTAACTGCCCGCAGGGCGTTTTGCGAGGGTTTCAAGCCCAAAGCTGTGGGTCGGGTTTAATCGCCAGTAGGCTCACGCACCTATCCGCAGGCAAATGCCCTGTAGTAGGTGGGCGGCAGCATGCATACTTGGAAAACTGGGGTAACTAGGGTCTCAGCATCCCAGCCATGCTTATATGATATTGTTGTTGATCAAAGCTGAGTGTTTGAAGCCTTACATCATTGAAGTTACCATAGAGGTGCATTCACTATACTCAGCTCCAGGTCTGGCATTCAGCCCACCTTCAACTGTCGAAACCTTTCGCAGCTTTGGAGCGGTTCAAAGCCAAAAGGGACTCCCTGCCTAATCCGACACAGCAAATCCCCCGGAGCTTCCCCAGACAGTCGGGGCGTAGCGGCAAGTAAAATAAGGTCTTCGAGTCGAAGTTGCCCAGGTTGATCTTTGCACTCCGTCTTCGGGTTGGGTTTAAGAGCCTTCGGCCCGTGATCTAAAAACCTATGTCGCAGTAAGGCAATTGAGTCTGTCCTCAACCCGAAAGCCTGGCAAGGTAAATGCTGAGCCCTACGGTAGACAGTGCACCTCTCGAATCGGGTCTTGCCCGGGTCCGCTCTTTTGATTAGTGCCATTTCGGCGCGCCACTTCGATAATTGCCGAAACCATCCCAAATGCCAAGTCTTCAGCTGCTGCGAAACAGGACGCAGAAACATCCTCAAGCCAGGCTGGTGCTGTTTGAAGAGTTTGGGAGTGTAGGCTCTAGGGTGTTGGGGTTCATGTAGAAAAATGAACATGAAATGTAAACTACAAGCAGGATCCTGCTGCTACTGGCTGCGTCCGTAGTTTATGTTCAAGTTCAAGCTTTTCGGCTTGGGTTGTAGAGGCATTTGGGTTTATGTAGCGGTTGTATGTAAGCGCGTCGGACATCGGTTGCTTTCAGTTTCTGATAGGTCTGCAGAACTTGGTTGAGCATTCTGTTACAGTTAGCATAGCAATGCTTCGCATGATGCGATGTCGACGATAGCCTTTCTGTAAACGCCATCCCCTGTCACCCGTGTCGCATCGAGCTGTCAGACGTGGCAAAGGGCGTGGGGTCAACCCAAATCTGAAACAAATCACTCCCCTAACCGCGATTCTTGGGCTAAGGGTTCGTTGGGTTCCTCAGCACCGATTGCAGCCCTTCAGGGTTGGCAAAGGCATCAAGGGAATATGAAGCCAATGACGCTGCGCTTATGAGAATAGGTCTCAACATCGGACCCAAGGAACATGTGCAATAGATGTTGGTAAACCAGAGGCCAGTTGTAAAAGAAAAAACAAGGTAAGTAAGCATAAACAAGTAGATGCAGTGAACACACATATTGCATTTTGGGAGCCGTGCATTACAAGTGTATGATGCCCCCTGAAAAGCCATGAAGACTCGACCTGATTTTCATTGATTTTCGCAAACCCTGTGCCCGCAGGAAGTTAGCTGTTTCCTTTGGAGAAGACAACAGCAGCAACCAAGCAACTGACATAATCCACAAATCTGAGGGTGGAGAATCCTCGTTCGGGTTGTGGGTTGAAGGTGGGGTTTCGGGTCCGGTTTGAAGCAGCGCCGCGCTCAGCAACCCTGAGAAAACAAGCCAGGCGGCCACCCACGTGTCTCTTTGTGGCTTGGTTGTCTACGCCAGGGTAGGAGTGCGCACGGGTTCCAATGCAGGATCCACACAGGCATGGATACCACACTAGCAAGTATCAAGACTGGTACTACCGTATAGTAGTTGTAGTCCAATACGGATAATTACTAGAGCGAAGAACAATGGTTCCATCGTTGCTACGTCTTGGCTGTTTATGTGTTCCATTACTAATTGCTTGCATTACTAATTGCTATGTTTTGTACTGTGATGTCATAGCT